AGCGATTGTCGTGTAAAACCAAATCTCAGCAAGAATTCACCCTATATAAATCTGCTTCCTTAACATACAATTGCTCCCTTCATGCTGCCAAACAAGCCAACCTTGTCTTATTAACACCTTGTCATCCAGTCCTCATCGTCTCTTCTCTACTTTCTACTTTCTCCACCTCCACCCAGTAACTCACTCACTGCTTATGAGATTGCAAATCATTTCAAAAACAAGATTGATGCAATTCGTAGGGGCATCTCCGCTACACAGACATCTCTCCCACTCAGCATACTGTAATGGAACCCGGACCTCAGACTGCACTTGGGTATTTTCCGTTATACTGCAGCTTCCCTGTGCGAACACAGATCCCCGGACACCACTCGCTGATCATGCAGGAAATAGACAGCACCCGACTCTTCTAAAGACAGGAAGTCAACTCCTTTATTCTTACACACACACAAGATATATACACAGGGCAGGGAAACACAACCAGGGACAGGAAACACATCATCAGCCCTCCCCTCAGTAGGAAGGGCTACAGGAAACACATCATCAGCCCACCCTATCAGTGGGAAGGGCTACAGGAAACACCCCCCTCCAACCAAGACACAGAACAATGGGATGCAGCACATGGCAGAGGAGAATGGACAGCCACATGGCAGAGAACAAAGGACAACACACCAAAACACAATATATATTCCCATTCACATTCACACCCTGTACCCCTTAACAGGCACAGGGTGTGTTAAACATTAGAATTAGGGAAGATGATACAGGGATCTCCCCACCCCCAAAAGTCACTCCCGTCACACACACCTTATACTAAACCTCCCTCAAAACTTAACTCGTTTGACCTTGCTGAAGGTCACTAAAGTTTTCTCAGAAGCCTGTCTCACCATGTGCCCCCTGGACCCTGTTCCCTCTCAACTACTACAGTCACTCTCTTCTTCTGTCTTATGCTCCCTCACTCACATCTTCAATCTCTCCCTCTCTAATGCTGCCTTCCCTTCCACTCTAAAGCATGCACAGATCACTCCCATACTTAAAAAACCCTCCCTGGACCCCACCAACCTGAACAACTTAAGACCCATCTCCCTGTTCCCATTTACCTCTAAACTCCTAGAACGCATAGTCTACAATCGCCTGAACTCCTACCTCATCGACAACAACCTTCTTGACCCTTTACAGTCTGGCTTTTGCTTACTACACTCCACTGAAACTACACTACTAAAACTCACTAATTATTATTATTATTATTATACAGTATTTATAAAGCGCCAATGGTTTGCTCAGCACTGTACATTACAATGATTTACTAACTGCTAAAACCAATGGCCACTACTCCATACTCTTACTACTTGACCTCTCTGCGGCTTTTGATATTGTTGACCATCCCCTCCTCCCCAAAAAACTCCACTCTCTTGGCCTCAGAGACTCTGCCCTCTCCTGGTTCTCCTCCTACCTATCGCAACGCTCCTTCTCTCCACTTCCTCTTTCTGTAGGGATCCCTCAAGGTTCTGTCCTTGAACCCCTTCTCTTCTCCATCTACATCTCCTCCCTTGGTCACTTGATAAACTCCTGTGACTTTAAGTACCATCTCTATGCTGATGACACACAAATCTATGTTTCTACTCCTCACCTCGCCCCTTCAGTCTGCTCTCGCATTACTAACCTACTAAGTGACATATCAGCATGGATGTCACTCCACTTCCTCAAACTAAACCTTTCCAAGATGGAGCTCCTAAAGGGACCACTACTTGTGTTACCTGTTGGGGGACATGTCCCTTAGTAGAGTCACCCTTACCAGTTGCCATTCGGGGTTCGCTTGTTTTTGGCTTCTCAGTCAGAACAGAATGTGGGCAGTTGGTTGCTGTCCTGCCTTGTTTGTATGCTAGTGTATGTGGATTGATTTATTGATTGAGCTTATTTGACTGTCTGTTGGTTGGGTGGTGATGAGTCAAGGTGTCTGGTGAGGGCGCTGGTGTGGGGGTGGATCTGGCTCTTAGCAGGGCAGGGATGATTTCTGTGTTCTGCTCCCCTTTGTCTGCATTCCAGCGCCTGGAATCTGTGTGGTGGGAGCAGGGAGGAGTCCCCTGTCAGGCGGCCATTTTCAGGGGATCTAAATGGGCTGATAAGAATTATGGTGGTCACACGGTCAGGACCATGTGTGACTGGCATAGCACTGCATAGTGTTGAGTTTTTCCTTGATTAATGGTCACACTCCATTACATCCATTTGTTTATGCTATTATTGAGTCTTGTATTTTTGAACCCCTTTCCTTGGGGAAAAAAATGTCATTTCTTTTTAAGTGCACTGTTTTTTACACTATAGTAATATATAGTAGTATAGTACTGGAGACTACATTTTCTTGCAGTGATCTTGGGTGATCTTACTGTTAGATATGTATATGTGAAGAGGCTGTTGCTGCTGTCTCCCTTATCCTCTGTAATTTCATCTTTTGGTTTTTAGTTATTTATCATTGTTTTTTCATTATATTTTTTACTACCACTTACGAAGTGAGTATTGTCCTTTGAGCTGGCCAGATTTTTTCTAACATTCAATATTTGCATTTTTTGTTATTGATTTATATGTATTAATATTTTTTATAATCTACCAGCTACCAAACTGCCAAAGTGGTTCTCAATTCTACTGCCCACATCTTTGCTGTGTCTTTTTCTGTCCTGCCATGACTGTAGACTTTCTGTGTTGATGCAATAGTACACCAGTGTTGATATAATGAATATACAGTGAGTACGCAATCCCTGTTTTGCAAGATATACATGTTCTGAGATTATATAATTATTCAAGTCTTTATTGTATATTAACTGCAATTCACCCCTTTTGAACTATAGGGTCCACTGAAGCAGCAACTGTATGGAGAAACATGGCAGTATTCCTGTGTTCCTTGCACAGTGCCCTCCATCATTTATCAGATATTGGAATATTTACAAGGATGATATCATCTTAATCTCTATTATATATATATATATATATATATATATATATATATATATATATATATATATATATTGGAGGACATAGGACATAGCAGGATTCACTCTATATGGGGCACTTTATACACAGTAGCACATCTGCTATGCTTTTATGGAAATTTAATCATGTTGTTCAATAAACTTTGTTAAATTTTTTAGGGTTTGTGTCCACCTTTGTGAGGTTATGTTTGTTACTGGAAAGTCCTTTTCCTTGTTTCTTTTGTTTTGTTTTTAATAACATTCAATTGCAATATGACTTGAGTTGCAATTGTACATGCTATATTATTATTTTCTTTATTTCCTAATTATTTTTTCCATGAAAGCAGAGTTATCCTTTAAATCTTATAAGAATAGCATGGCTTCTCATTTATTAAATGCAGCCAAAAGCCTGCTTCCTAGACCCTGGAAACAAACCACATGTCCAACACTCTTGGACTGGAAGAAGGAGGTTGACAACATAATGGAAGCTGAACATTGGATTTACGTTGCTGAATACAATAAAGACAAATTTAGACATATGACTGGGATGTATATACTACTCTTATGAGATCACAGATGCCTGATAGACTCACACATCGTGGGTATTAAGGCCTTTTGAAGAACCTATTTTTTTACCCACTATGCTGTATATTGATTTCTAACAGTAAATGTGTTTTTTGTTTAGGAAAGTCCATTCACTTCAAAATTGGATACTAAAATATAAAACAAACAATACGGCGCTATATTAAAAATATCATGCAAGCCACTCAATATTGTATGGCCCAGATATACAAAAAAAACATATGCACAAATATATATATCATCGGTGTGAAGTGAAGCAAACAGATAAAAGGATTCCATGCATTAAGGTGACACAGATATAACTTAGTGAATAGTGTCCTTGTGTATCAAACAAATTCCATGCAGATGTGAACTGCAATGTGCCAATCCTCTATAGCTGGGGTGCCCCCTCACCTTCCTGCCCAGGCCCCTAAGGACCAATGAGCCTTGGGTAATGAGTTGAGTGTCCCTCCGGATAAAAGGTGGATCCCTCCGGCAGTAATGGTGGAACTCCCTCCTCTTGGCTATATCATTAATGGTAGATGGTACCGGTAGTGACTCTCCAGTATATGGCTCTCCAACACGGTCACCATATACGTAAATGGCTGCTCCTCAGTCTGTTCTGCTCAGAAACCTAGTTCCAGGATGCAGTGTCACCTTAATGCATGGAATCCTTATATCTGTTTGCTTCACCTCACACCGATGATATATATTTGTGCATATGGTTTTTTGTATATCTGGGCCATACAATATTGAGTGGCTTGCATGATATTTTTAATATAGCGCCGTATTGTTTGTTTTATATTTTAGTTTATTGTCTTGGTGCCGTGGCTGTGGCACTCTCAATACTGGCTGCTTAAACTACCCATCTGTATATAGTGGCGCAGGAGATCTATTTTATTTGGATATTAAAAGCAAATGTTTTTTGAGTACAAGAGTACAATATTTTTATACAAATGTTCTTACAAATGTTCGTGTTCTACTGGTGAATGGCCAGCTTTAGAACAAATATACAGATTAGGAATTTTGTTTTCAATATGACTTTCCTGACCTGCATGTTTGGTCACAGTCAGTCAAGTAGCACTTTCAGTAGGTCCTTTGTGGATTTTGAACAAAATATTAAACATTTTTTATGATGGCATAAGTACATCTTTTAACTTTAGCTCCGTGCTGCGGATATGACCTCTGAGACACAACTATCAGCTAGTGTTTTTGTGGTTGCAGTATATTCGATGTTCTACTTGGGCAGGAAGTCAGGTAACAATGACAGAGAGAGAAACAGATGCAATGTGAAGAAGAGAAAGGAATGCGTGAAGAGAAGCCTAAAACGATCGACTGAAACCAGGACCAAAAAGAATAGCAAGTAAGGTAGAATGTTCCAGGAGAAAAACTGACCCAGGTTGGCTGGACCTTACAGAAAGATCAAGAAAGCGGATAACACAAAAAGTATATCAAGAAAGAAGCCGAAATTAGGCAACACAAATATATGAAAGACACTGTAAGGGAAACAATGATCGCAACTTAACTGGAGTATTATTCACAGCTTCCTACTTACAGGTAAATGTCTTGGTTCCAAAGACGGAGCATGTTTGTATATTTTCCATGCTTTGGACTAACAATGCCAAAGCTCTCTTCAAAAATATATGATGAATGTGCTAATTTATGATTTAGGATTATTGAAGCTGTATTACTGGAATTAATTATAAAGAGTGTAAGTACCACTGCAGTGTGTTAGCCCACATCAGATTAAGGTTTTTTTAAATTGACTAATTATAGCTGGTTTATGATTGCTATTGCACTCTGCTACTCTTTTATTACTTTATTTAACAACCACCTTCTTAACTTCCAAATGCACAGCTTTTACATTTTTGTTGACAGACTTAAGTTTTCCTTTCCCCAAAATGCCACCTATTTTGTATGTACAGTATGTATCCATTGACTTCTGTGCAGAATCCCAAAAGCATCTTAATACATTATATTGATTGTTCTGTATACAATTTTGTGCTTTATGGTTTTGTGGTGTCTGCAGCTGAACATACAAAAAATGTGCTTTGGAGTAATTTGTATTTGAGGGTAGCCCAAACAGTGTGCATGGATCATGTTAATACAGCAAAGCATTTATTTTTGTAATACATACATTGTAATACATTTTATTTCCCAATGTTCTCGTGAAATTTTGTGAAGATCTTGGTTGATACATGAGCTATATATCATATAAAATGGCGTCTAGCTCTGTCACAGTTTCCTCTTGGTAATTTCCTAAGATGGCTGAACCACACAAAACCACACAGAACATACATGTCCGCAACTTCATTAGTCTCATTTATGTCCATTGATGTTTGTATATGCCGTTTCAGCAGTACAGTGCCAATGAATACAGTAAGGTGTCGTTCCAGTTCATGATTTTCTGGTATTTTTGGAGTTTATCAGCTGAACTCTCAAATTTGTTTTACTGTTGGCGACATGTTTGTAGAAGGTATTTTCATTTCTTACACAAAGAATATTTCTAGCCACTCCATAAGCTTTTTGAGAATGAGCAACATTGTTTACAGAAATGCTGTTTGCTTGGAGCCCCAAGGCTGTGGGTTACATTTACCGTACCTAAGCTTGTCCCTGCAAAGACTTTGTACAAAGCAGACCACAATTTAGGTAACTATTTGATCTGCTTGGTATAAGGAATACCCATCACTCTGTGTAATACTCAATCAACAAAACAATATTTTTGGATGGGTCCAAAGTATGTGCTGATTTAGCACTTAAAGCAAACCAGCGGGTTCTGTAGGTTTTTTAACCATGCTCCTTTCTAGGTTTATGACAGTGACAGGTTTCTGCATAGCTGTTAGTTTTTAATAGCCTGCAACCCTGGGTTGTTTCGTAGAAGAAACTGTAACCAAAGCTCACATGGTTGTCATGTGGCCCTGACCCTACCCTATACCTGGCCAGTGAAGACACACATTATATTTGTGGCCACTAGGAAGATCCAAACAATAAGGAAGGTACAGGCAGCAGCAAAAGGAAGGACTACATGGTTACCAGGCAAGGTCTGGACAGTTTTTTTGATAAAGTACCCAAAGAGATCAGCCTCCTGGGGAACTCTGCAAAGAATCCAGAAACACACGCTACCAGTTAAAGAGCCAGATTACTGTGCTGAGATTGAATTTCTAAACCTTCTGATCATGGTTGATTGCTGATCTCCTTACTTTGCATAAAATCACAGGGCAAATAGGATGATCTGGTTGCATGAAAGATTTGCTTATCTCATTATAATTCTTCATTACCTAACTGCATTGTACCTGTAACTGCAACTACCTATGTGCAATCTATACTTTAGACCAGTAGTCTCCAAACTCGAATGGGCCAAGTCTGGCCTGCTGCAAGATCTCCTCTGGCTCTCTGATGTAAGAGGAAACTTTGATGAGGCCTCTGATGTAAAGTAAAATCTCATGTGAGGAGGGACTCTGATGTAAGGGGGAACTCTGATGTAAGGAGGGACTCTGATGTAAGCGGGGACTCTGATGTAAGGAGGGACTCTGATGTAAGAAGGACTTATATGTAAGGGGGGATGGGTTCAAGTTTATTTGGAATTTCTTTGCTTTGCTGAAGTTTTTTTCTGTTGCTTGAAATTAATTCATGCTAATTAAAAAAAAACTCCAAGTAAAACGTATTAATTTAAATTTGGTTAGGCCATTTATAAAACAGTTTTTTTCAGCTCCAAGAATATTTGTAAAATATATATGACCCTCGTACCTAAATGACACTATGTATATAACTAAGACTATAGATACAGTATGAATGCAAGGCTTCCCACAAAAAAGAAATACAGTCTTCTGCTGTTAGCTTTAGTGATAAAAATTTCCAAAAGCATAATAATGTAATAATGAAGAGCTTTTTGGTGATAGTTCCAATAGAATTTGCACAGATTTTTAGAAAACATGGGCAAGGAACCCTTAAAGCTGTATTAAAACCTAAAAACAAAAACGTTATGTTTTGCAGCTCACCGGTCTTTAAATGTGGTGACTGCATTTGATTTCTTTTTTTTTATTACTTTCCTTTCATCTGGTGATTCATCCAATAACACACTTGCTGTGTTAAGCCCCATACACACTGGCTGAAAATCAGCCAGTTCAGTAGGAACTAGACGACTTTCAGCCTCTGTATACAGTTGCCTGTCCAACACAAGCTTGTCTAACAACTAGTTTCTGTTGAATGGACATGCTGGAAAACCAGCATCTGATCAGCACTTGCAGCCAATGGCTGTGAGCGCTGATCAGTGTGTTCTGGCAGCAGGGGAGTACAATGACACAGCAGGGAAGATCGCCGCACCAACATTATTTGTGTTGGTACAGCGGTCTGTCAGGTTTTTCTCCTTTAGGTTGAACAAAAAAAAAACTGAGCATGTGTACCCAGCATAAACGTGTTTCCACTCTGGATGGAGGAGCAATGGAGCCACACTTGGACACAAGCATTGTCAATCTAAGGGGAGGGTAGTGTTAGATGTACTAGCAGATTTAGACTTTACTAACAAACTAAAGCCAAACTCCAGCTAACACTTTTTAAGCAGTGTGCCCTTTCACACAGGCAATCCAGACTGAATCACAATGTCTATCTTTGGTGAGCAGATGTAAACAGACGATCATCAGTTTACATCCGCCTACATCCATAGCAGTTCAGGTCCATTTTTTAAATGGAAGAAGGCTGTGTCCTTTTCCATTTAGACAGATCTGAATGGATATAAACAAATGTTGCCTGTTTACATCTGTTCTTTTTATGTATGTTTTTAGGCATGAAACATTTTTTTTTGTTTGTACTCTTTTCTTCAACAACTAAAAAAAATGGATGTAGAACTGAACTGAGCTGAACTAAAGTGCAAACTGATATTAACTGAACTGAACTAAAGATGGACATGCAAGCTGATGTAATCTGAATCAATACAGTATTCATCACTTTATTTCAGCAAAAAACTTGACTGAACTGATGGTTCCTATGTGGAAGGACCCTTACAGCAAAGATGTTTTCCTTTTGAGATAAAAGGTTTTATATAAATGAATCCTGAAAATCTTTACCTGCCACTTTTACTGGACAGTTTAATCTGTTAGAGGAAGTTGAAAAATAACAGACTTAGTGGATGCATTAACAGGTAAAAATAAAGGGAAAAAAAGCCTTGTTTAATACTGCTTTAAGTAGCCTCAAAATTCGAGGTGGGGATCTCAGAGACAGTAGCTAATGTATCCCACCTTCAAGTGTTGGATGTGATAAGTATGGCAGGGCTTTTTTTCTCAGAGAATAGGTGCAGGACCTCACTGCCCCTACCCTGCTGTTCCTCAAAAAGAGAAGTAAACCAGAACCAAATAATCTACACATTACCCAAGGCGCAAGAGGCAAGGAGTACTGCATTCAGGAGTGCATAACAAACAGGGCTCAGGAGTGTGTAAAGTGCTGAGAGAGTGTACTGTCCCTTGACCACAAAAAAAAAATCACAAGGAACAGGACATGTAAATCTCCCCTCCAATGTAACCATTTATTTCTAACCTTTGCACACCTCTTTGCTTACTTCTGTGCCCCCATCCACAACTCACATCTGCAACTCTCATCCTCAGCTCACCTTTCTCACCCCTATCCATGGCTCACCCCGTCTTCTCCCCGTCCACAGCTCACCTCTTCTTCTCCCCATCCACAACTCACCTCTTCTTCCTCTGTCCACAACTCACCTCTTCTTCCCCCCTTCCACAGCTCACCTCTTCTTCCACTATCCACAGCTCAAATCTGCACCCCTGTCCACAGTTCACTTTTGTACCCCTGTCAACAACTCAATTCTGCACACCCCTGCCCACAGCTTTCAGTTCGCAGCTCACCTCTGCACCCCCAACTACAGCTTGTCTGTGCCCCCTTGCACATTTAATTTCTGTACCCCCATCTACAGTTTACCCCGAACCACACTCTTCAACCCCCACCTTTAACCTCTACCCCCTACCACCTCTACACAACCTGCCACCCCCCCCAACTTCACAGCTCTTGCTCCCTACACAGCTCTAACTTTGCACAACCTGCCCCTCTTTCCCAGTGCAGCTTCACTAACACCCCTTTCCTCTAGGTCTCACCTCTGCAGAGATTCCCCTTCCCCATTCTTGCCTCTGTACAACCTGCAGCCCCCCCCCCCCCCCCCCCCCACTACACAACTCTCACTTTTCACAACCTGCCCTTCTTTCCCCTTAAAGCTCTAAACTTTTTTTTCACAAATCCTCCACAATCCCAGCTGTCACCTCTGCACTAAATCACCATATCCAAACTCCCCACAACTGCCTTGCTGCACAATGCCAACCCCCTTTTCCCTCCACACAAACCTCACAGCGGTGCAGCTGGCAATGATCCGTTAGGTGGGTGCTTTTTTTTTTCCCAACAGAATGCATTCACTGCCTATTAGACCTGCGTAGCACAAAGCCAAGGAAGAGATTTAGAACACTTCACTTGGCTCTGTGATACACAGGTCTGACAGGCGGGGGGTGAGGACAGGAGCCACCTCCCGAAGTACCACATGAAGGAAAAAAAAATGGGGGCGG